TGTCCACGCGCCCGTCACCTGCGCAGGGGGCCACGCGCGAAGCTGGAAACCGGAGCGTACTGCTGGAAAACGCAGGGAGCCAGCTCCTCAGCAGAGCATCACGCTGGGGGCATGCAACACAGGAGCTTTGCTGCTGGCACTACCAGCCTGCCAACAGCTTTCTGGCTAGAATTCAAATAGCTGGTTTTAACTTTTCAAGCCCTAAGGGGTTTGGGGCTGGATGAGGAAGGTGCAGCTTCCCTCTGTGCTGCGCGCTGCGGCGCCGGCGAAGGCTGGCAGCCTGCTCCCGCTTCGAGCGGCGAAGGGCAGTCGGGCTGTAACAGCTTCAGCCTCCTTCCCTTCATGTACCGCCCGCGTCCGATGCAACTGCTGATTGTGATTCGAAGGCAATCTTTTATCTTGGGTGTGACTTTGCAAGACCAATGAAATTTGAGATGGCTATGATTTGGTTATCCTGTAGTGATAGTCTGTAATTTTGCAGATAATTACAGAAATTAGCAGGGACAGATTTATATCCTGAATTTTGTAAAAATACCTGGCCATTTAGAAAAATGCCAGAGAAATAAAAAAAAAAATAGTAAGAGCTATGAGTAGTGTTACTACTTCTTGTTTCCAAAAAACCACAAGAATATTTCCCCCCTAGTCCTATTCACTACATTTTAAAACTAGCACCATGCTGCCCTATCAATCAAAAAAATGAGTTAAAGGCAAAAGAAAACATTTTGAACTAACAATAGGAAGCGTTAAATATCAGTAGTTACATTCCACATTAATTATTCATTTAACTGAAAATGTATAATAATTTGAGATGCAGAGAAAACCTCTGGCCATAGTGGAATGATCCTATTTGTTTGGTATTTTATCACCTTACGGATTTGATAAGCCCTTGATTTCTTCCAATTTTTAAATTTATTAGACCAACTCAGACTCTTTCTCTCCTCAGTACGGAGACTTCTGCGTAGTCTAACAGTTGTCACAGCATGTTGTCCACTTTTGCGAGAGAAAAAAAAAAACCAAACCAACCTATTTCTCCAGCAACAGAGAAAAGGAAGGAGAGGGGGATACAGGGCTGCACTTTAGGTAGTCATTTGCTCTTTTTGATTTCAAGCCTCCTTTCAAAATCCTAATCTGTCCTTGCTCTACTGTCCTCCAACATGAAGTCAGATCACCTGAACCACCATTTAAATTGTAAAATGCTTCCTTCACATCCTTTCAGATGCGGCCCATATTTCCAGTGCAAAGCAGCACAGTTTAAAACGATCTGTACCCCATGCATCACACATCTTGTTTTCTTTTTGATACTTGATGCAACTGAACTGCTAGGCAATCTTCAACAGCAGCAGTGACCTTTCATGTGCTTTTATGGATGGGCAAATTTAATTTCTAAAAACAGTTTCCATTTCTCAAATATGTATTTACTTCAACGCATGCTGTATCTTCACTCATTCTAAACTATTTTGTCAAATTATGTAAAGCTTTAGCTGTAAAAATAAAGTGAGGTCCTTTTTCCTCACAGAAGGATGATGGATGATGCTACGAAATGGCGTAAATAAAATATGCACTACGATCAGCTGAGGAGGAACGTAGCATGTATAACCTATTACCACCAAGCACACGACACTCCCTTCAATGCTTTCCTCAAACAGATATTCTGTAAATAGTCACCTCTCGACTTTGACTTGAAAGGGCATCACTGATTTAAATAAAATACACATAAATATTTTAGCTGCTACAGTGAAAAGGGATTATTTATTGTAACACAATAATAAAAAGAACACTTCTTCAGTTATTTTAGTCTGCACATCTGAGTGCAAACTGTGCCTAGCTGTTTTGCTGATCCTGCTATAAAACCAGTTCCTCCTGTGAATGCATGGCTATTTTGCAAGGCGTGAGGAAAGAGAGAGAACATTAAGCTGCCACGAAATGTTACAAAAAGGACAGGATTTGGGGACACATGCTGAACTTGGAGCTATTTAAAAATCTCACTCTTTTTGAACAGGAATTAAGCCTTACGGAGTCAAAAAAATGAGTGCCAATACGCCCCTCAGAGCCACCTCCTACTCAGCCTAGGTGCAAGGGAGAGCAGAGCGCAGGCAAGGTCTGTTTGAGCAAGCGGATGGGGAAAAGCCAGCCAGCTGGACCAAGGTAACTGGGGAAGTGGAGGTAATTTGCCCCTGCAAAACAGCTTTCACAGATTATCGCTTCCCCAAAGTTTCTACCAAAACAGCTTCCAGACAAAGGGTAACCAAAGAAACCTGCACTACCTGCAGAGGCACAGCTACGCAGCCTACGGCGCGTGGTCACAGGCCAAAGGCTGAGCCTACCCAGCAACATGACATTACAGATTCATTCCTGGGCTTAAAAGCAAATCACATTCACAAAGCAAACAGAATAAAAGTACTTGGTACTTATTCGATTCAATGTTATGCCAGTACTTAATCAAATGTTTTTCAGTTTAACACCCAACTATGTACTACCAAATTATTTTCTATATGCTCTTTTATGAGCGGCTTTTTTTTTAATGCTTAGAAAGCGCACTTTTTAATAAACTGAAAAGGGCATCTAGCTAGAATAAAAGTAATAGGCTCTGATAATATAGTAATTCCATGAATCAAAATACTTCAACCTTACTATGAATCACACTGAAATGCTGGAAAGGGGACTGTGGGGGCAACAGAGAAGCTAGCAGAATTTAGCAGCACTGAGTATGATTTCTTACTGCTTTGCAAGACTTTCGAACTTAAATGCAGTCTCCTCCAATGACCCAGGTGCTGCCAGGAACATTAAAAATATATGATTCATAACTTTGTTAGTGTGAATGCTGGGAAACCTCCATCCACACCACACAGTACCCAGGGAAGTAGATTTAATTTAAATAAGAGTCCTAAAAGCAACAACAGGATTAAAACAATGGAAAAAAGCATGGGGGTAAGGCGAGGCAGTAAGATGCCATTTTGTAATTTGTATTTGTGCTGGAAATTGCTGATTAAACATCTGTGCACACAAAGCCTAGCTATTTAAAATGAAGATGACTTTGGGTTAGTTTTAGGTGACCTTGCAAATACTTTTTTAAATAAATTGTTTTACATTCTTCAGTGATTGGGAAGAAATGCATAGTGTGTATACAACTCTTGTGTATGTAAAGTCAGATCAATCTCTTACTTATTAAAACTTAATAGCTTTCAAGAGCCCAACAAAATGTCATGTATTCTGTAAAAGTCTGCTAGTTATTAACAAGCATAAAATAAACCCAAACCTAATAAACCACCTGTCGCACGATTTAAAGCAAATTAAAACAACTGAAGAAAAAAAAATATATTCTTCAAAGATGTTTTAGCATGGCAAGGACCTAAATAATACAAAACTTTCACTGTTAAACATAAAACTACTCCGGATGTAACAGTTCAATTTTGTTTTATTCAGTGTGCGTAAGAGAAACTTAAAATAATGTTTTTGAGGCTTAGGTTTTTGTTCTGTTTGCTTTATGTTTGTTTGTTTTTTGTAGCTTACATGTTTTCTGTAGCCCTGGAATATCAGAAATACAACAGCACTGCTTTCATTCACAAAGCCAAAAAATGAGATGTGAAGAAAAATAGATATTTTAATCAATTTTCTTGCTGCTCAGCTTTCCACTGCAAGTGGAAACTGCAGAGTCTGAGCATTACATTTCCACCTGCAGCAGTCGATAAGATAGTAGACCTTGCTGCTTTACCTTATATATTCTTATATTTTTTCCTGTAGATTAAACTGTATAAAATCCTGCTGTGAGCACTTTGATATATGGCACATACACTTATATATGGGATGGACCTGTCCAGGGATGTTTGGAAACACTGTTCTCTAAATAATCCATATAATTAGTCTGTCTTCATAACACTCAGCTCAACGCTTCTGTTCTTAACTAATCAACCTACTTAACCAGGAAAAATTTGCTTGAAATAATCCCTAGAAATGCACAGGAATTCAATACATATTTTCACCTCAGGAAACACTTTGTCCAAACCATAACCTTTAGTGAGAAAGCCTAAGTACAACTAAATTATTGGCCATATAGTATCTTTCACAAGATATAAAACTATTGACATAGTTGTACCGATATTTTCAGAAGTAAAAATTCTATTTATACTCTGTAACATTTTTGGCTTTGAAACAGAAGTTAAATACAGGAAAAAAAATTAAAAAAATAGCACAAATCAAAAGCCAGGATTCTAAAAATGATCAAAGCTATTTCAGTTAATCTGAATCAGATTTGCTATTTGTTCTCCTTCAATTTTTTCATTTACAGACATTCTTTAAGTCTGATTATTTGTCAGAATTTAGGATGGGAAAATTTTCTGTAAGCTGTTTCAAAAAGCTTCATCAGCCATGCAGCAAAAAACGTGACAATGTAGAAATTTGCTTTTCTTGTGAGACCACTAAAGAAGGTCATTGAATAACTAATGGTCTATTACGACAATGAAATGAGAGACTTCAGTGGGACTGCTAATCCCTCTAGCTTTTAAAAGAATAAATCAAACTAAGGATGGGAAAATTGAAAAAATATACTGTTTTTTGAAAGTGATACATTCTAACTTGAGAGAAACTTGCTTTCAACACCTGACAATGACATGAGTGTCACTGAAAAAGAAAGTGTGTCAAGTTATTTTGCATTTAAACCACCACCTTGTTATTTATGAATAAACAATCACGTATTTCACCTCTGTTTATATAAAAGTATCACTAGGGCTGTTTTATTCTACATTTAAATCCCACTGCAACACTTCAAAAAACTCTGTTACTTTTTGCCCCCCAACCAATACTAACAATTACAAAGAAGAGAAATTTCACCTTCTGCTCATCCTTCTATTGTTCTAAGGAGGAGCTTTCCATTGTTCTAAGGAGGAGCTGCGAGCTGTGCCCCTTGGGATGCTAGATTAAAATAGTGATGAAATTGCCAGAAATTGTTTCAACTCTTATCTCCTCTTTGTGAATTTAGCAAAAGGCTCTTTGTATCGTCTTACCTTTATGGTTTTGGTCTGGAGTCTGAGTCCATTTAAAGTGTTAATGGCTTTCTCTGCATCCTTTGGATCAATATAGTTAACAAATCCGTACCCTAAACTCTGCCCTGTTGAAACACAAGAAACAAACAAACAAAAAAAGGACTTAGTATCTTTTTAGCACATAAAAAATTTCCAAAAGTGGAATCAAAATTTTCTTCCATTGTTCGTTTTCATCACTGCTTTCACCTGTATTCTCTATGCCGTTCTTCACCATTTCATTATCTCCTTAACACAGTAGGAGGCAACGTACAAATTTTAAATAGTTGCTCTAAAATCCCTACTTTAAAAATGAAAAGCAAACCCCTCCGGTCCCCTTCACCCTCCCTTCTCCAAGAGATTACTGAAAAGTATGTAACCCAAGGGTTGACATCAGCAGAATTTATATAGAGTTTGGTGCCAAGTTCATAATACAGATAACTGGTTGACTGGCCAGAACAGCAACGAGGCTACCACTTAAAACAGTTTAAAACAAAAAAACAAAAAAAAAAACCAAAAAAACCCCACACAACACTGCTACCATTTATGAATAATATTATAGGTTTTAAAAACATGAAAGTTCAGAAACAGCGTTATAACATTAGCCTTAAATGAGCTGACTGAGAAATTCACAAACATCTTCATGTATCATTTCGCTGCTTAGCGAGCGGCCAGTAAACAGGAAGAGAAAGGACGGATCAGACTGCACCAGGATAAGGAATAGCATTAAAGCTTCCCTCACCGTATTAGTGATGACAGCCAAACAAAAGCAGCACAACAACTGCTGCTGCGCGTGGGACGGCAGGAGCCCACTTAGCAGCCCAAATCATTTCGACTGCTTCTGTTTTACTAGTAAGATCTGTATTTATGTTTGTAGCAGAAAGAGAAGACCTGGCTAATAACTCGGGCAAGTAACATGGAGCTGGTGAGGCAGCGCTATTAGCGCTAGAGACATTCATTCACACAGGGGAGGGACAAAGCTGCATGCTTGTAATGGACAATGGAAAACTGCATCACAGAGATGCCTTCTCCCGATTCCCAAGTATCAGTTTTGCAAGACCAACATGAAAGACAACGGCTTCCAAATTCCCTCATCTTATACATCCTATTGAGGTTATTTTGGACATTTGGAAGATATAGTAATTCTTATGTTTTTTTCTTAAGGCACATAATTCGGAGCATATAAACACAGGTAACCAGATTTCAAAAACAAGTCCAAGGCAATCGTTTCTGTTTCAGCTATCCCACTTCTCATATACTCCTAGTGCACGTCCGGAGAATGCCCGGGCAAAATACGACCTGCCTCTGGGCTCTGCTGTAGGCAGAGATCTCAGTGATTCTGCTCGCAGGCACTGGAGCAAGGCAACACGTGAAAAAAACCCTCCCAAGGAGAACAGTAACGCTTGTGAACGTGGCTTGCCAGAAGATTTCTGTCTATCTGCAGTAGTGCTGAATGGCAAACCAGCCCCTTCTCGCATGGGAAAGCGGAGGTCGTGAAAGCAGCTGCCTATCAAGTGCCTGGATGCTCCTTGGAGGCACAGGCTCTGCCACCGAAGCACAGAGCTGCGGTACTGTCTCTCCTGGACCACAAGATTTCTGTGATTCTGTGACTCTGTTTTTCTCAAAATTAGACACTGCGAAAAGCACAGTGTATGCTGTAACAGAAATACTGGGGGTGCTTCTGTCTTACAGAACGCGCTCAGACACTAAGATATTCCATAACCTAGTTAGCAGCTCTTAAAGATCCATGGAAGCACTGTAGTTCATTCCTAAAATGCCCACAAGCAGGAGTATGGGTAAGAAAGGCTCTTTTAAACTACAATACGTGCAGACAGCAATTGCCTCCAATCAATTTAACTTGAGAAAAAAAAAAGTATAACATACCTATCCTTCCAGGAGACCTCGACTGCAACAAAAATACTCTTACCCAAGTTACATGACATGACCAAGAAAGGATTAAAGTCTGACTGAGCAAGAAACCAGCAGCAGAAATATTTTAAGGATACTTTTCACACTATGTCTTCCTCATGTTCTTGTCTACCTAAGACACTTTGTATACCTTGATCATGGTGTATCTGAACACATCTAAACCGTAATATACTTAATCCTCCACGTTCTTAGGAAGAAGGAAACCATTCTCTAGGGAATTAATCTCATTTTTTGGAACAGAAAGGGAGATGCAGAGATCAGGGCTTGCACAACTCGAGTTCATGTGCCTACCTTTCCCATTAATTGCCCCCTGGCCTTCAGAGGTTGTAGCTAATATGAGGAGCTAACTCAAGGCCCTGGGACTTGCATCAGCCTGTTTGAACATGAGCTTAAAATGTCCTGATCCCTGTTTACCAGCATGACAAGCTTCTAAAATATATAAAATGATTTTTAATAATCTCTCTTAGGAACATTCCTACTGCTGTAAATACTACTGCAAGGAAGAAACCGTAGATAAAAAATTCATAGATTAATAGAAACTACAGGGAAGGGAAATAATGACAATACAATAAAAGAATGATAGAAAAATTTCACAGATCATTCACTCCTTTCCTTGGAGTTCTCTAGTAACATTATTGAAGTTTAGATATCACTATCTCTGATCTTCATTGCCAAATAGAAATGTAAACAAATATTTTCTCCAAGGTGGAGGATAAAGGGGTACCAAAATGAATAAAGTCGTTTGTATGCATGCCTGCAGAACTTGGCTTAAACAAAACAATTACAGTGTCATAAAGTTTTGCTTAGAATAATAAATACATGATATGATTTCCTCTCACTAGCATATGTTCTTATATATCATGATATATAGAAAATTTTTAATAGAATTTAAGGTTTGTTATTCATATGCTATTGGTTGTGTTTTCATATCAGGTACAGTAATTGTTATATTTCCTGCATTATATTCTCACTATCACTTCAAAAAGTTAGGATTGATCTACTCAGCATTCTGAACGTTGAATTTCTATTAATTCAAAAGAGCTGTAACATTCATGATAAAAAAACAAAACCCCACACCCTTTGCAGCCCACTGAAATGTTGGTGCAGTTGCTTCAGTTAGCAAATTGCTGTTGCTGCATTCTGCCATATGCTTCACTGTATATTAGTGATGCTGAAGGGAGAAATTTCCTTCAAATAAGAGCATGCCATTTCAGAAACACCTTTCTTTTTTGGTTTATTTTATATTTTTAAGTGTTCACCTATGAACAGCATCTTCCCAAAACACCACTGCCAAACGAAGGAAGAAGCTCCTCTCCCTTATCTCAAAAAATTGAAAAGAAAATAAACCCAGAAAAAAATCATTTTGTGAAAAGCTTTATGACTGCTGGCAGACATCGTAAAGTTTTAGTGTACTAAACATTTACAGCTAAGAAACAAACAAAAAAAAGATATATCCAGCTCAAAATACTATTTTCAAATTATACTCAAGAGCAATACACCTTATGGCAGACAAAAAGCAGACTACAGAAATGAAAGAATTAAAAATGGTTACTAGGACAGAAGGAAAAGAAAGTTGTTCCAGAACATGGTGAAGCAATATGAACTTTCATTTTTGTTTTTAATTAGGTACTTTTATTGCATGTACTCAAAAAGGGTAACATTTCTTAGGACGCAATCTGGCAACATGAAGCAAGCAGCTGGACCTCTCAGTGGGATGCCATACAGACACCGAAGTTCATTCCCATGCTACACTTCCCAGGAGCAGGACCGTAAATAGTAAATATTTTCTGCGACTTGGACTCCACTACTACATTGCATGCTGTGATTCAGTAGGGCAAGCACAAGATATTTCTACATGATCCTAAAACAACACCTTTTTATATCACTGTTACTGTGGCTCTTACAGAATTTTTTACTTAACCTGAGGAAAGTCAGTAGCAGACCTCCTGTGAGCTGGTAAAGAACAAGTCTAAAGTCAGCAATAGTATGGGTAAAAATGATCGTGACTTGACAGATTTGAAAACATTCACACAAAACAAATGTGTGTACTTCATACTTTAGAAAGCTCCATTTCACAGAGCTGAAAACCACCCAGATTAAAATGAACTGAGAGAAGGAATGTACAATAATAATAGATATACCCTGCTTAATAACATGTAACCGTACACCCCAAAAGCTACAAATACGAAGAAGGCCATGCCAGTTAAAAACCTGCATGTGCCCTTAGCTCCTCTGTAAGCCAATCTGCTTAAGCCAGTTCCACAGATAAATTACAAGAGATTAAAGGGGAAATAGATAGAAGCCAATATAAGCCAGAAGAGAAAAATCATAGGAAGTTAATGAGAGAAATGAAAACCAGAGAAATCTCTGGCTAGTAAAGGTCAGGATAACAAAGAATTTTTTTAGATTATGGAAGAGATATTTTAACATTCATGCTGATTCATTAATGGGTGGTAGCAACAGTAACAATGCAGAGAAAACAGATGTGTTACATATTCCTAAAGCAGCTAGATGCAGTACTAACTAGTAACTTAGGTGGATGCTGAACAGCAGCTCCTAAAACTGTACATGTTTAAGTCAGAAGATCCGGGTTACTTGCACAGAACAGCTTTCAAAACCACGAGCAAATGGCTCCCTTGCGATTTTGGATAATTCTTAAAACACTGAACAAATTCCAGGAGCCAGGAATGAAATACAATTTTGTACTGAAATTTGAAAAAGGAAGACTGGATGACCCAAGTAAGTACAAGTCCAACAGTCTAATGCTGAGCATGGCAAAATTATAGAATATTCAATACTGGACTCTAATAATAAAGAATTAGAGAAGAGTAATAAAATCAATGTCAGTCAAATTAGGTCTAAGGAAAATAGACTCTGTCAAACTAAACTGACATCCTTCTTGATGAGATTACAAGTTTCACTGATAAAATTTAAGAGTATCGATGTAATAGCATTGATATACTTAGCCTTCTATAAAGCACTTGACTTGCTACTGCTTATTAACAGACCAAAACAAAATTAACATGGTACACATTAAATGGATTAAGAATTGGCTGACAGATCTCAAACTGGAATTGTGAACGGGAAATCATCAAAAAGATGTTTTCCTACAAGCCTCTCTTAGGAAACAGATCTTGGCCCTACGCTGTTTACCTCTAAG